GCTTGCAAGAGTATCGACGCAAGTTGCGTCCCACACCAAAGACTTACCCATCTTCCATGGCAGTAACGACATACCATCCGGTCTTTCACGTACAGCTGGCTATAACAAAAGCACGACGGATAATGTCGTTAATATTGGCATGTACAGATATATGGCCGGCGCTTCTGTTACAAGAAAAGCCATGATGTCCAAGACTGTCAACAGCTGAGACAAAAATGCGCTTTAATTTTTTGCAAATGAATCTCTCGGTTAATTTTGAATAGACCTATCTAATGATAGCCTAGACTCTATTCAGACTAGTCTAGACTTTATTCTATTTTGCCGCTTTGTAAGTACAATTCATACAGGGTTCTGGTATATGAATTTTGTGCTTATTTTTTTCCCTTTTCACTATAAAAAAAGTGTATGCCCCACTATAAGCTTATTTAACGAGTAGCTCTTAAAGTTGCTCATTACAAATAGGTAACTTTTAAAGGAAGTATTGTCAACTTTGTGTCCGTTTCATGTATGTTTGTAAAGTCCCCCGCGACACAAGATTTTTTCTAGTGCAGGAGTTATCTTCTTAAAACAAGTAAAAAACAAAACTTCAATGCATCTTAATCCTGACAAATTGTAATAAGCTATTTACATGATTATTACTTTAAAAATCTGTTGTATCAAGCTCCCCTTGGATACAATTTTTTTTTTATTAAATAAATACCAGGGTATTTATTAATAAAATTAATTATATTTATTTAGCTTGATAAGAAATCTCAACACATAAAAAATATAATTTATTTAAAAAAAGAATTGTTGCTTAAATAATGGAAAGATAGATGTGTCACAATAAATACTATAGAAACACGCGTACCTATATTTTACAAATTTGGCAGCGCTAACAAACTTTTCCTTACGTGCTTCCACGCTATAAATCTCATGTCAAAAGCAATTACACCATTGCTAATCCAGTAAAAAGGTTCAAGTAGAGCAATCATGATTATGACCGCACAGAATGACTTAGATGATCTTAATATTTGATACTAAAACAATCGAAAGGATAATTTCATTCACTTTTTGCATCTACAAACTCAAAATGAGGCATCAATTTTACTTGTCATTTTATCAAAGTTTAACTTTTCATAATGATTTGAATCTAAAAGACAGCTTAATTAAAATATGTAGGTATGTCAACGCATTTGAACAATATGCTTATTTTCATGCATTTCAGTAATACTCATCTTAATCACTGTAAACTTCAGGCAAGGTCAAAGAATTAAAAAAAAAATGTATTAGAGGTTTTTTTTCATAAGATATTAAGCCTACCAATTTTAAGCCCATTATTGAATGTATTTTTTGTATGTATTGCTATCAAACAACACACAGACAAATAACAGAAGCATTATTCATTCAGTTCAACAAACCCTAATTTAGATATAAAATAATTATGCAAGGTTTTCGCATATTAAAGCAGGTTGATTCATCATCTTTATGAGTCAAGACCGTGACATTAGAAGCAACAAAATTGACACGAGGTGACCAATAGCAAGCAACAGCACGCAACAAACGAATTACAAGCACCTACGTGATTACACACGATCGGACGCCATTTCTGAAGTTTACCATTAAGTTCTTTGAGCTAGTTTTGTTTGTTAGCTATACACCCACGTTCTTGGTTGTGGGCAGTTTTATTGCCTTCAGAAATAAAATCGATTCTGAGAAAATAGTACAAGAGAAGAGAAAAAACTAGTACTTTAAGATTAATAACGATGAAATCACGTGCAATTTTTTTTTAAATTAAGAGACATTATCAGTTTACTGGTCTAGCAGAAAAATCAGTGTGTACTGATTCTTACACCTTTTAAGGATTTTACATTTTACCCTAAGGATTAAGAATTTTCGTTTAAAATGCAATCTTAAGTTAGATTCCTTTTCTTCTTTCTTTCTTGACCGGGAAAGCTCAAATCGGCTAGTTTTAGACCACAATTTAAAACATAAAATATCATGGCACAAAAAATATTCTTGCAGATCCATTCTTTAGTGAGACGATAATTTGAACATTTGTAATATTTGGATAGTAAAATATCGATGGAAATGCAAGTGTAATTTTTATTTTTATTTTATAAGTATGCAAACATGTGATGCATTCATAAAACGCGTAGAAAATTGCAGCTACAGTTGTTTCTAGATGTGAGCTATTTGGGATTTACTATTTTTAATTAAAGAAAGATAATTTAATTATTTACTGAATATATAGGCATTCTAAAACATGAAGTTTTCATTGGATTATGTTAATTTAGACAGCCTGTATTAGCTTAAACATTGTGACGTTTCGAAACTGAAGGAATATACTAGATCATTAAATACTCCTCGAATGGTTAAATACATAAAATATTACACGATATTTAAAACATACGAACCAAATGTAATCTTAAAATTTTAAATATTTGTGCTTCGGCTGTATATGATTTTACAATTTGGTTGAGTTTTTGTAGTTAGGCTTAATAATAACCTTGAGGATTGTTTATTTATTTGAATAAAGGTATATAAATGTATGTGTGTGTATAAGTACTTTATGAATACATTAAAGAAAGCCTTAAAATAATGCCAGTCGGTCAAAAATGATGCGTGGAGATGAGCAAAATGTACTCGTGGTGAAGAATGTTTTATGTATGTAATGGAAGTTCACGGACGCGGTGGATGGACTGCATAAAACAAGATATGGCTAACAAGGAAGTAAGCAGTAAATTGACAAATGATAGCGGAGAATAAGAGGAGAATGTATTGTTTCTTACTCTTTTCACAAAAAAATAAGCAAAAGGACAAGAAGATGGTGATGTACTTATATAGATATACATTATCATTAGTTTTTAAATTTGAGTGATAGTTGAAGTCTACTTCAACTACGACTGTCTCTCCTAAACATTTCGACCCATCCAATGCCATCCATGCCATGGAGAAGTCGATTTAAGAATGTCCATTGCAGATTATTTGTAAGACACATGTGTGTATGATAGTACTATAGCAAAAATGAAAATAGTTATGTAACTATGTATGTCGCTGACTGTTATTTCACACTAGCTGACCCGCGCAACTTCGTCTGCGTCTTTCAATAGTAATAAATTTTCTCCGTTTTTGAAACATTCTTCATTGGTGCTCCGCTCCTATTGGTCTTAGCGTGATGATAAATAGCCTATAGCCTTCCTCGATAAATGGGCTACGGAAAACTGAAAGAATTTTTCAAATCGGACCAGTACTTCCTGAGATTAGCGCGTTCAAACAAACAAACAAACAAACAAACTCTTCAGCTTTATAATATTAGTATAGATTAAAATATATCACATCCCGTTTTTTTATTAATAAAACAGTTCCAGTGGTACAATGTGGCGGTCTTTATTGATTTATTTGGTTAACCAATAATTATTAACACTAAAACTTTTGTGGATTTGGATGTGAAATAAACTTACACTTGGGCTTGACTTACAATGTCGAAAACAGGAGTCAGGCAGATCGTTTATAAATATATTAAACAATATTAGAGCTAAATAAGTTCCCTGGCGTCGGAGGTAATTCTACAACTAGTGGATCTAAACTATGCAATCAGATAAGACATAAACCATTTCAGCAGTGCCCTAGTGATGCCATATGCTAAAAACTCATAAATTAATATATTGTGTGAAATTCTATCAAATACCCTTGAAAAATTTGTATATATTGTATCAAATTGCTTGTTAATATTATAGACGGATGTATGTAATAGGCGGCCATATTGATAAAAGAAATCTCTTACATGCAATCTTTTGGAGGGACAAATCGACGATAGATGAGAAGAAACAATGGGTAGTCTAGGTTTATTGAAATTACAGTAGAACAAAAATAAATATAAGCATACATAAACTTACATTTATACACAATATAAATATATACATTATATATTAATAACCATGAAATCATTAAGTCATGTATAGCTGTTGAAAAAAAAGAGTACTTATGAACCTAGGTAGTGATGTTTGACAATATTCTTAAATGATGTCAATGTGTCACTGAGGAACACAAAACGTTCTTTTAAGTAAGGCGGGGTAAATAGATTGAATAAGATACTATAAAGTATACAAAGAATACCCATATTCCGTTGAAGTCGAATTGGAAGCCACCAGATCAATTTACGAAACACACATGATTAATTTGTGACTTGTGTGTGTGAACCTCGTGAGAATTAGGGAGATATCGAAATGAATTTATACAAAGCATTCATTATTTCTACAAATTGATTTCAAAAGCTCTCCTTTTATGATCACATAAAAAGGAAAGAATATGTATGGCACAGTTAAAAATACAATATTAAGTTACAATTTTGAAGAAAAACGGTGATTAATGGTGATGTTTTGCCACACCGCATTACACGTTACATATACTATGGCGTGGCGACGTCTAACCCTCCGCATTAGATGTTTCACGTCAAAAGTTTCGAAGAAAAATTACTAACTATAGTATAAAACGATATTATTATGTAAATATCACCCTACTTCAACTATACTTACTAGACGCGATTTCAACCTGAACAATCTCTCGAACGAGCTATTTTATGTGACCTGTTGCCAACTTAAATTGGTTAAGTTGAAGGAAAACTATGTGAAAATACATAATTTAAACGTCCTGTAGGATAAAAAAATAATTCTGATTATAAAAACTGCCTGCTTTAAACGCTATCGTATGGAAACTTATGTTCAAACTTCTATGTTAAGCCTAATTAAATATAAATACATATTGTTAATCTTGATGCTGAATTGTTAAAAAGATCATTTTGGTAACCACACAACAAAAAATAGCATCAATTTTTCATGTATTTTCTTTTCTTTAATTTTGCCAATTTGCTAGTGCTACAAGTATGGGAGAGTACTTTTACTAGTAGAAAGGCAAAGTTTGTTACTCGGCAAACACATTCAGACGAAAAAAATAGTAATACCCTAAAACACAATATAGTGCAATTCATAAATACTAACCTTTAATATTTTTCTTCATAGGATAACTACAATGTACTTCACATATCCGCAATGTACTCGAGAGAAGACATCGTCAAATTACTACTGTCTAAGCGAGGAGTCGACCCATTTGCCACCGGAGGTGTAAGTTTATTTTACTAAAAGAAATTATCGGCACTAGGTTTAATAGAATATTGCAATTAAGGTTGTAGGTTGTTGGTGCGAGGGGTTTACCAGCTAAATCCCTAAATAACATGCTTAAAGACCTTGGATTGCCAAGAGCTTCAGTAAGCTCTTTTCTTGAACGAATATCCAAAGCGGCATTGCTAGGCACGTATCAAATATGGTTAGGTAGAGGGGGTAAAACAGCAGACAGTGGACGTGAGCGCTGACGCGTCGCAAGGAGTACTCCCCAAACCTATGCCTGGGTCGCAATACCCAGGCGCTGTGAAGTCGCATGGTGAATCCATGGAACGCTGAGGAATAAGTCTGGTAAAGGTGGGTTAACGAGTTGACCGGTCACCTGCCGGTAAGTAACTGCCGTCGCCCATGGATACCTGCAACTCCAGAGTCACATGTCAGTGCGTGTCACCCCCCTAACTAAGGAGGGAGGGAGAGGATTTGAGCCCCCGACCATACTCACTCGATGAAAATCAATGAAGAAAGAAGCGAAATACTTAACGCCGGTTTTCTGTGACTGTTCTCTTTGTTAACTTCTGTGGCTTATTACATAAACCCAATTTAGAATCCTCATGTGTATCGCGTATGTGTCTATTGAACAAGGTAAACATACTGCCGATTTAACATTTTTTAATAATATAATATTCTAACTATTAATTTTCTAATTTATTGACTTTTTTCTGGTCGGTCATTTGTGTCATTTCTGATATCAAGATTTTCATGGAGAAAATCTTGATTACACTGGAAACGTACTTTGGGTCTCTTAGCATAACTTAATCGCAGTCAAAGTTTATGTAAATGTCATTATCACAATGACTATGTGATTTTTCATATTTTTTTGGAATAAAAGCTTTGTTACCCCTAATTTCTGTTAATGTATGTCTGTCTATTTCTGTCATACTTTACTTGCTTTATGTAACCTAAAACATTTCTTTTGTGCTGTTTCTTCTATATCTTCAGCACATCGTGTTTTGGTCTTTCCACGAGCGATTTATCTGTTGGCGCCTGACATTTTACTAGCGACTAGGTCCACCTTTTCTTTGTACCTTTTGTGGCAAGTTTGTCACCCACATATGTTTTATTTTTATCCTTAGTATATTAAAATGGTTTAATCAAAGTTTTGAAACTGACACCCAGTTTTATTAACAATAAATTGTTAACATTTCCTTCAATTCTGGTCTGTGTCTTGACTTATTAAGAATACAGAGTGTCACCACCCCTATTCATCCCGTAGGTGTCGTAAGAGCCGACTAAGGGAAAAAATTACGAAGAACAACAGCACTGCAGAGAGAAGGAAAACTTGACACAAACTCTACACCAACCCGGCCAAAACCTCCTTTATGCTTATGTCCAGCAGTGGACTATTAAAGGCTGTTGACGATCCTTCAATTCTACCAGTACGGTACAGTTCACTCAACCTATGGGTGAAAAATCTTTCGAATAATTAAAGTCAATATAGTAAAACCCTTGCATTAATTTTTTTGCAGAGTCGACAACAAACTGCAGTGCATTTAGTAGCGAGCAGACAGACTGGCACGGCTACCAGTATACTCAGAGCGTTACTGGCGGCTGCAGGCAAGGACATCAGACTAAGAGCTGACGGGGTGAGCATTGATTTAACTTACATGAAATGTTTTGTCGAATATTGCATTTTAATAAAATATGCTGCTATGATGAATTGTTTAACAATGAGCTTATAAACTATTTATCGATAAAATATTAATCCAGCTCAAGTAAGGCCATTTGCCGTCTGTGATTAGTACGATGCCTTTTATCCATCAATATCTCTCTATAATACGTTAATATTCAAATGTGAAATAGTAAAACAAAACGACCGATGCGAACCGAAAACAATAAGTATTAAGCTTTATATAGGAGTTATTAGAGTTAAGAATTGTATATACGAGAGTAGTCGAGGGCGCGGCCGTTGCATACACGTCGTCGCAGCGATCGCGTGCAACCCACAATGCCTGGTACTGCCATCCGCCTGCTATTGAGGAACTACCCCCCAAAAACACCCAACAAACATAGCCTGTAAACAAAACTCTACGTTTACACCAGATCTAGCGACGTTTATACAGCTTTTTGCCCAAAGAAATCATAAAACCCAACCACTGTGGGCTGCTATTTAATGCAACACGCATTATCTGACATAAAGAATCTGACAAATAATGATTATGTCTAAATTCCGCAAAAACACAAACGCCTTCCCAAGGCTGACGTTTTAAGGACATTCCGATAGTAGGAACGAGCCACCCCATACGAATAGAAACTAGCTAATTATCCGTCGAGCTTTAGCCGCCCGAGTAAACGTCACATCGCAAATTTACAATGCAAATTAACTTGCTGAATATTAGTTACAACGTCACCGCTGAAATTCAAAATTACTAATTTTAATACAAGTCTCAGTCAGTTCTTCGTCACCACTAGAGGAAGGCAGCTTTGTTATGGCCTCCGAATTTCCGTTCGGATAGTACTCCTAGTTCCCATGGAGGATCAAGTACGTATTAACCAATCTGAGCGTGACGGAACACACTTAATACAAAGCAATCATTCGATTGCATCGGTGTTCAGTGAGAAGCACGATAGACGATCGATTATACCTTATTGTCTCGGCCGACTTTGAAGATTGCAATGCACCTAAATCGGTTATTGCTGTCTGTGGTGTCACAGTTTGGAAGCGATTCGTGCAGTTGCACACCGCAATGCATTTCGTGAGTTGCTCGTGCTCGAGCCATCGGCATACAGTGCAGTGCGGGTTCCGTGAGTAATTGGGACTATGTACGAAGGGCGGGGCGCGCCGAAAAGTGCAAACTTGCGTTGTCGCTCAGGCCAGCGCAGCCCGCCCACCAACGCACAGTCAAAAGATCTGCAGCGCCTAGAGCTCAGCTATATCGAGCTTAACAAGGAGCGTGCCAAACAGAAGGAATGGAAAAAGCTAATTCGCGACATGGTGTTCCAGAGGGGGAAAATTCCGTTGCTGTTGGCAGTGGAGGCCGGGAACCAGAGCATGGTGCGTGAATTACTCAGCGCACAGACAGCGGAACAACTGAAGGTATGTGGGATAAGCAGATATCGGTTTCAACACGGATGACATGTGAGCTTTGTATTCATACAATGTTATGTAATTTTACTCGTTGAAGACGTATATAGTTTAGTTTAATAACTGCTTTGAATTTACTTTTGAAATATCGTAGTTTTGAACTTTTGTATAAGTTTATCTGTTTATAATTAAAAAGCTTTGTAAGTGCTTTTATAAATATTTAAGCTTTTTGCCTTTATAATTATCACATTTAGTTACCTAGAATTTTTGTCGATACTAACTTTTTATGTTATGCACATATTTTTTTTGAATTAAGATTATTTTATTTCGCCACCTTTAAAATATGTCTCACAGCTGTGTATAGTCTGGCGATATTTTCCTGGATATACGTATATATTTTTGGTATGGAAACCTTGATGATCTTGGACAAGCACTTGCATTTGTTTTGTATATAAAGTAACGCTGTGTCCAGGCCTGTACTCCGGCTGGCGACACAGCTCTTCATCTCGCTGCACGCCGCCGTGACGTGGACATGGCTCGAATCCTTGTTGACTATGGAGCCGTAGTGGACGCTGTGAATGGAAGCGGAATGACGGCATTACATATAGCTGCTGCAGAAGGCGATGAACCCCTCGTTAAATACTTCTATGGTGTCCGAGCTAATGCGGGAATTGCGGATAATGAAGGTGAGAATGTACATGTACAAATATTAATTTTTTTTTTTTTTTTTAAAGAGTTTGTTGTCAAATATGCTTGGTGACGTTATTCACCTTTTCTACCAACTAAATGGAGTAATTTAAGTAACAATTGTGATGTATTCCAGGTAACTTCTCAGCGAAAATGCTTACTAGTTTTAAAATATTGTAGGTACATATTATTAATTTAAATTGATTTACTATTAAAGATTTTATCCACTATAGCTAAGTCAATGAGGGCTATTATAACAGTAAGAAATGATTACTTTAAAGTTCATTTTTCATTCGCGTTTCTTTCAGACCGAACACCTATGCATCTGGCAGCTGAGAATGGTCATGCAGCTGTAATCGAATTATTAGCTGATAAATTTAAAGCTTCTATCTTCGAGCGGACTAAAGATGGCAGTACGTTAATGCATATCGCTTCATTAAATGGACACGCAGATTGTGCTATGATGCTGTTCAAAAAAGGAGTCTACTTACATATGCCAAATAAGGTAAAAGCATTTTGTATTGTTAGACTAGAGTTTCTAACATTGTAGTAAAGATAAATTTGAAGTTTGCACCGCAACATAACAATCAAATACACTAATTTTTTTTATAAAATATTGTAGATATACTCTATCGTTCTAGTTAATAGAAAAATGCACAGTCTAAAGTTTTTTTTTTAAATTTGAATCGACTGGCGTTCATCATGCTTGCTGAGCACTAAAATGAACTAAGGATATGAAACATCTTTGTCATTTTTTTATACTATTTCGTCGTAAACCGTAAACCCAACAGACAAAGAAGTAATAACCACACAGAATCAGGGAATTTCTTTGTGAAACCTACTTCTGTGAGTCTGGACTTAGCTGATTTTTTTCACTTAGGTAACCTTCCAAAAATCCACCAAGACTCAAAAATGAGCGTACCTCTGTGGAATATGGTTTCTTTGACCTACACTAATTGCAGATATTAATGCTTAATAGTTACGGAGCTCAATTACGATGACAAACAAACAAAACAAAAATTTAAATATTTCATCATTACTACTCCATCATGTCTTTAACTGTATTTACGTGAACAAGAACCGTTCGGTTGAAAATCCTTCGTTTCATTTCTGTAATAATCTTATATTGGTATTGTATAATAGTTATGTAATTTCAACTATTCTCATGAACTTTCTATTGAAAGCTTTAGTCAATGTTTCCATAAAAACTTCTTTCTTCGCGTTATTGTATTAAACGAAAATTGTGATCATTATATTGGCAGTAGGAAATTGTCAAAAGATTACTGCATCACGTTTAATCAGTATTAAAATTAAAATATAATTTTGTTCAAACTTAAACTCTAGATCATCATTCGATGAATAAATACCCGAAGTTTTAAACCAGTAACCACCTGCACCCCCAAAGCCCCTAAAACCTATATTTCTTTCTATTCCTCATTGTTTCCATAATAGAGCCTTTATACATTTACTCCTTTACCACGATACGGTTTTATGATGTTGCGTGTTTAATTCCAACGGTAGTGCATTAGAAATGAAATATATTTTTGCTTCGTATAACCTTAGCCTTATTTCTTATAATATGCTTATGTGCGGTTAGTGATTAGCCGGACGGATCTCCAATGGTTGCGTAAAAGTTTAGGTTACACAGAGAATAATAAATTGTATAATTGATTAAACTTACTTTTGGGTGTTACATCGAATTTAACATTATATGTATTCTATACTAGACTAAAATGGACTAAAGAAAATGGTTCACTATAATTTGATTGCATTAATGGACATGTCAATACCATTTTATTCTTAACATCATCACAAAGTCAATATTCAATATATTTTCGCTCATCTTTAATACAAAAATGTTTGGTTTTGCAAATGCTTATGAAAATATATTAGAAACTTACTTTACGTGGTCTTACGTTTGTCGTTTCTATTTATGTCTATACATATCCAATATGTTGTTTATTATGGCATTATTTTAAGTATTTGAAACACAAGAAAAAATAATGCAAATGCGTTTAACCCTCGCAGGTCCAGAACACGCGAAAGTCATTGATTAGAAAATGTGAGATAACCTTCGACTTTGAAAAATTGATACTAAAACAAATTATTGTAATAATTTCAGGATGGAGCTCGTAGCATCCATACAGCGGCTCGATATGGTCACGTGGGCATCATCAACACCTTATTACAGAAAGGGGAAAGTGTTGACGTCACAACGAATGTGAGTTATTTGAAATCTCTTATAGTTCACTTCTCTCCATTATCACATCAACAACCTTTAATACTGCTGGACCTAGGCCTTTCCTTAGAAAGGAGATATTTCTCCACATTATTTCCATACAAAAAAAAACAATAAAAGCACAGTAAGGTTTTGTCCTTCTCCTGATCAAAAGCTATTTGCAAAATTTGATCTTATGAATAATATTTGATGACAATTGACAACTAAAATGTGGACGTTAAATTTTATTGTTACATTAATAATCTTAAGCGAAGTATTTGGTTTAGATCCTTCAAATTAAATATTGTAAGAAAACCGTGGTGCGGTACATTTTGCACAGGCTCGATCTGAGTTATGATGCATTACAGGAACGGTGTTAAGCAGTTATTTCGTTTTTTTTAAGTGAGGTTCACATCACATCATCACATCAAAAGCGTTAAATGGTCCACTGCTGAACATAGGCCTCTCCTTAGAAAGGAGGTTTTGGCATACTATACCACGCTAGCCAGACGGGTTGGTATAGAGTTTGTGTCAAATTTTCCTTCTCCTTGCGGTTCTGTTGTCCTGCGCAGTGATATTACCAGAGCCCAAACGATCCCCCCCCCTGATTCTTGTAGCAGGATTGAAAGAGTGGAAATGATATTTGTAACTCTTAGGTGTTCATGGGCGGCGGTGGTCACTTAACATCAGGTGACCAGTCTACTCGTTTGCTCATTTACTATATAATTTAAATTATATAACATGAGTTTTTTCCCCAGGATAATTACACAGCGTTACATATAGCAGTGGAATCTTGCAAGCCAGCCGTGGTGGAGACCTTGTTGGGTTACGGCGCTGACGTGCATGTAAGAGGAGGCAAACAAAGAGAAACAGCATTACATATCGCAGCCAGGATACCAGATGGTAATAACAGCACTTTAATTACTACGTTACGTATTTAATATTTACTGAGTGTAAAATTATTGCATTTGCTCCTTGGTGTATATGCTATTAAATTGATGCCGTAAGGATACTTTAACCTTAGATTTACAAAAAAAACAACGTTTTAAATTTAAAACATCTTTGCTATATGCGCCTAGAGTACTTATAATAAAAAATTGTTTAAAGATAAAAGTTAAAAAGGAGTATTGCTGTACACATAAATCCTCGGTTCTACTTTTTTATTAGTAAGTAGGTAACATTGACAATAACGAGACAACAACTTATTATGTGATGAGTACCATCATTTGTTCTATGTCTGTATGTAAAGTATGTATTTACAGCATAATTTATTTTAATACAGCAGTCTAGTTACCATAGCTCTGACTAGTTTGGGATCAGACGGCCGTATGAAAGATGTGTTAAGTTATTATTATTATAATAATACTGGATATCTCAAAAGCATGTGTCAAAATAAAATTTGATTTATTATTTTTGTATTTTATGCTTATTAGTTAAAAATAAACTGTATTGAAAAGTCTTTTTTTTTTGGAAATATCGTGTAAATTGTAATTCGTTTTTATAATTTAGAATTTTAGAAATTTGGAAAACGTTGGAACTTGTTCAAATTTCTAAGAGTATTTTAATTTTATTGATCCAGAAAAGAGAATTGTTACCTTTAATTTCAGTTATTCCACCCGTTAGTGTCAAGTCATTTTAGTAAGGTTCGTTTATTTCTAATAGTCAACAGACAAAGATAAAGATTTAAACTTTCTTCCAAAAAGTGACCGAACAACCGATAATAGTTAATCTAGGCCGAAAAAGGTGTTATTCATCTTAACATTTCGCTCCCATTTGAAAACGATTCACGCTACTCAAAAGCTTTTGCTCTTTCTAACAAATATTTGGTCTAGGCTTTTGTGTTTATATTACTTAAAATCAATTTCAAGAACCTCGGCTAGTTCTTACAATATATCTGTACAGCATCGACTCAATACCCTGTATTGAATCAATGATTAATGATTGGCGGCAGATAACAGGATCTATTTGCAAGCCCAAGTTCCCTATTACATTAAAGGGATGAATATACAAAACAATCATCAGGCCTGCCGTTCTGTGTGGTTCTAAAAGTTGGCCGATTAAGAGAACGGATGAGAGACGCCTGAACGTAGCCGAAATGCCAATGCTGAGATGGAATTGTGGTGTGACTCGGATAGACAAGGTCAGGAATGAGTATATATGAGGGAGTATGTAAGTAGCGTCACTGGATGAAAGTAAAGAAGTAATAGGTTATCTTGGTATGAACAAGTCATGTAGAGGGATGAGGAAAATGTGGCGAGGAAAGTGTTAGGTATCGGAGTTGGAAGGTACAAAAGAAGAGGAAGACCGAAGAATTGATGGATGGACTGTTTGAGAGAGGATATGGCTATGGAGGGAGTAAACAGTGAAATGACGAATGATAGAGTACAATGAAAGAATAATACATACTGCGCCAACCCCAAATAAAATTGGGATAAGGGTAGGCAGATGATGATGTTATGTTGTAACAAAGTAAATACACAAACTTACAAAATAAATAAATAAAGAAAAAAAGATCATTACACACAGACCAACAAAGTAATAGTTTTTACGATCGAATGGAAACCGCGCGCATTAACTAGTGATAACATCATAATGACCATATAAGGTGATCGTCGAAAACGAGCGCCACAGTGTGGGTGTTTAGAAATATCGAGAAGTGACAGTGGCTGACAACGGGCCGGCTGCCGGTGAATGATTCCTTCTCGCTCGGTTGCACCGTTCTTTCCATATCTCTGTCTCGTCTCATACGAACATTCCAGAAAGTACGCATTGTCGCCTCGAGGCGGAAATGGGCCGTCCCGATACAGAGGTATAAAAGCAAATCCGCGGAGGAAAGAGGTATTTCGACGCTTGAGAGTGAATTGTTTGCGATTCGTATACGTGATTGTTTGTCCACAGTTATAAAACGTTGTTCAATCAGTGGTATTCTAAAATAATAAAAATAAAAGAAGAAAAATTAAAAGCGGATTTCATTATTTGTCAACCCCCTTGAAAACTGGGGGTTCTCCGTACGGCTTAGGTTCTCCGTGCGGCTTACATTTCTCGACGGCTTACAGTCTCCGTACAGCTTAAATTCTCCGTACGGCTTACGTTCTCCGTACGGCTTACGTTCTTCGCGCGGCCTACAACAACGGTCTGCAGGATATCCGTGCGGCTTGCAATCACCGCACGTCTTGGCTTCGGTCTGACTGCGGAACGCCAGGCGACACGGTCTGCCGTCGCGAGCCCTGATCACCGTGAGCCACAGGACACCTTCGAGTTCTCTCGAAGACTTGGGAAGTTCCTCGCCAGAAGACCCTCCCCGCGTTACGAAAGCCGATAACCCAGATAAGTCCCCAGTGCACATAGGTTCAACGGGAAAGCTTCCTGTGCCAAGAAGTCACACCCTGAGACTTAAAAAATATTGTAGTATAATTAATTGAATTTGTTTTTTTTTTATTACAATTATAATCGTGTATTTGTGTTTTATTTGTGCCCGCCGATTTGTGGCCGGAACAATGATTACTTCATCAACAGCCATTACTAGTCCACTGCTGGACAAAGGCCTCTCCTTAGAAAGGAGGGTTTGGCCTACTATACCACGCTGGCCAGACGGGTTGGTATAGGGTTTGTTTCAAGTTTTTTTCTCTTTGCAGTGCTGTTGTCTTGCGTAGTTTATTCCCTTAGTCGCCTCTTACGACACCCACGAGATGAAGATGGTATCTAAATAACTTCATAATTTTTATGAAATCAAAATTACAGAACAGAATAGTAATACTATAATTTAAATTTGAGGTTTTATTTAGGTTTTTAAAACAAATATTTAATGATTGAGCTGTTATTTAAAAGGTCTCAGTGTAATCCATACTTATTTTGTTGTTAATTTGCTCGTTTATTTATTACGGTTTAACCACAAAAAAGAATGTTTTGGATATTTTGTGAAGGTATAAGATGTGTCAAGATATTGCTATTATAATCTTCTGAAAAAACATTATTGGTAGTATCAGTTCTATATCAAATACTAATTATCGTGAGGTTATTTTATACAAAATAAAGCATTTTATATAAAATTATTATTAAAATGTATTCTAAATAAACGAAAATAACAGATTCAGCTCTACTTTTGTCAAGTTAAATATCACAAGGGGTATTACGTTACATTTAAATGGAACATTTTAAGACAAACTTCAGAATAAAATGAAAAAAGTAAACTAATCGAAAATATATAACTAATTATATAAGGTTAGCTCTGAGTTAGTCCCAGAGCTAAACTTAAAAGATTTCGTTTCGTTCGTCAAAATAAAAAAAACATAATTATCTTATTTTAACAAAAAAAAAGAGAGAAGAAAAAAACTGTAATAAGTGTAATGTGTTAACCTTTTTTTTGGGGCGCCTCCCAAGCCCACAAGGTAAAGGTGCATTTTCTCCTCGTAATTAAAAACAATCAAAATTAATGATCAAACCAATATTTTCCCTCTTTTTAACTAACGTTCTAACATACTTATTTATTTTTATCGGTATCATCTTTTACTCCAGGGGACAAATGCGCGCTGATGTTGCTAAAATCAGGTGCAGGTCCTAATAAGGCAACTGAAGACGGCATGACACCTGTACACGTAGCAGCTAAGTATGGCAATCTAGCGACATTAGTGCTACTGTTAGAAGACGGTGGTGACCCTCTTAGGAAAACAAAGGTAAAACAAATACTTCATCAACAATATTTTACTGATTTACATACGCATTGATCTAAAATCCTATATTTATTTTACGTTTACAAAATTGATGAAAAAAGATGAGCATAGAATATTCTTAGTTATACACTATTATGACACGATTTAAATAGATCGTCGCATGGCTAATAGTAAACCTAAATCTATGTTAGAGGTACTTACATAATGAAAATAATTTGTTTGTTTGCCCATGCCCATGAGTTTGTTTTCCCTTTCTTCTCATAAGGCTCAACCCCTTGGAAACGGGCGGTTGTAGATCGGCACGGGCATATCATAAATTTTGTATGGGTTTGATTTTTGTTAAATTTATTTGCTTACTATTTGACAAAACAGAGATTGTTGCTTTTGTGTGTGTTGATCTATGACTTAGAGACTACATAAAAGACGATTTCAAATAATTTTGAAAATTTTATGAAATAAAGAGAGTTTGAGTTTGAATCAGCATTTCTACACAGTATATCCACCAATGATGTGAAATGTTCCCATAAAACTATTCCTTTTTTTGTAGACCGGTGAAACACCTCTTCATATGGCATGTCGGAGTTGTAAACCGGATGTTGTGAGGCATTTAATAGAATTTGTAAAAAACCACAAAAGTGAAAATGTTGCCAGGTCATACATTGATACAGTTGACGAAGATGGAGCAAGCGCTTTACATTTCTCTTGTAAAATTACTAAAGAAGAAGTCAAAACACCTAGTGCAGATAGGCAAGTAGTTAAATGTCTTCTAGAAAATGGCGCTGATGTTACATTAACAACAAAACATAATTATGAAACAGCATTTCACTTTTGTGCTGTCGCGGGTAACAATGACGTTATGACAGAAATGATCCAACATATATCAGCTGCTGATGTCAGTAGAGCTCTAAACAGGCAAAATTCAATAGGTTGGACTCCTTTGCTGATAGCTTGTAATAGAGGTCATATGGAACTTGTTAGTACATTATTGACCAACCACGCCAGAGTAGATGTATTTGATACAGAAGGTAGATCAGCATTACATCTAGCAGCAGAACATGGATTCCTACAAGTTTGTGATGCTTTATTAACCAACAAAGCTTTCATTAATTCTAAAGCAAGAAATGGCCGAACTGCTCTGCATTTAGCTGCCATGAATGGGTATGCGCATTTAGTTAAGTTCCTAATACGAGATCACAACGCAGTGATAGACGTTTTGACGTTGAAAAAACAAACTCCTTTACATTTAGCAGCAGCTAGTGGCCAAATAGAAGTTTGTAAACTATTACTAGAACTTGGAGCAAATATTGACGCGACAGATGAATTGGGACAAAAGCCACTACATGCAGCTGCACAAAATAATTATAATGAAGTGGTTCAACTTTTTTTACAACAACACCCCCAACTAGTGATGGCTACGACAAAAGATGGCAATACTTGTGCTCATATAGCGGCTATCCAAGGTTCAGTGAAAGTAATAGAAGAACTTATGAAGTTTGATAGAAATGGTGTCATATCTGCAAGAAATAAATTAAATGACTCAACTCCACTACAATTAGCCGCTGAAGGTGGCCATGCCGATGTTGTTCGGGCTCTTGTTCGAGCAGGAGCTTCATGTACTGACGAAAATCGAACAGGCCTTACAGCAGTACATTTAGCAGCTCAATATGGACACACAAATGTATTAGATGTTATGAGATCTACCAATACGCTAAGGATATCAAGTAAAAAACTAGGATTAACGCCACTTCATATAGCAGCTTATTATGGACAAGCCGGTAACTTACTATTTTTTATATTTTATAAAACAGAAAAATAAATATAAATATATCATCATTAATAATTTTACTTTCTAGAAACTGTTCGTGAGTTACTGTCTCACGTACCTGGCACAGTGAAATCCGAAGCTCCCACAGGAGTCTCACTAGTTCCAGAATTGGGTGCAGAGTCAGGTCTAACACCATTACACCTAGCAGCTTATAATGGAAATGAGAATGTTGTCAGATTACTTCTGAACTCCGCTGGTGTACAAGTGGATGCTGCAACAAATGAAAATGTAATAGACATTATTACTTATATCACTTATTAATTTTAAAACAATTAGTATTACTGTTTTATCAAACGATTTGCTTTTTGTTCCAGGGTTTTAATCCATTACATTTAGCTTGCTTTGGAGGGCATATGTCCATTGTAGGTTTACTACTCAGTAGGTCAGCAGAATTACTTCAAAGCACAGATAGGCATGGTAAGACAGGCCTGCACATAGCGTCAACTCATGGCCATTATCAAATGGTAGAAGTTCTCCTTGGTCAAGGTGCCGAAATCAACGCAACTGATAAAAATGGATGGACGCCACTACATTGCGCTGCAAAAGCTGGACATTTAAATGTAGTCAAGCTTCTATGTGAATCTGGTGCATCTCCTAAAAGTGAAACTAATTTAAATTGTGCTCCTATTTGGTTTGCCGCTTCGGAGAATCATAATGATGTTCTTGAATACTTGTTACACAAAGAACATGACACTCAATCACTTATGGATGATAAAAGATTCGTTTACAACCTCATGGTTTGTTCAAAAAATCACAATAATTTACCGATTGAGGAATTTGTGTTGGTGTCACCGGCGCCTGTTGATACTGCAGCGAAGCTATCCAATATTTATATTAATTTATCCACTAAGGTAGACACAATCACTTACATATTCGTTCACAAATACTAAATAACTATTTATTTCTAAAGAGGAACATTTGTTTAACAGGAAAAGGAGCGTGCCAAAGACCTCATAGCGGCAGGAAAACAATGCGAGGCTATGGCCACCGAATTACTGGCGCTAGCAGCCGGTGCAGAGTCTGCCGGTCATATTCTTACCGCTACAGATAACAGAAATATTGAATTTTTGGATGTATTAATAGAAACTGAACAAAAAAATGTCATTGCACATACTGTAGTCCAGAGATATCTTCAGGTAAAAAATAGGTAACTTCCTTACTAAAGCAAAACTTGTGGTGACAAAGGTATGATGAGATTCACTATTCTATTTGTTCACAGGAACTCTGGAGAGGAAGTCTCAAATGGAGTGGCGTCAAAATTATGTTCCTTTTTTTTTCGTTCATAGTATGTCCGCCAGTTTGGATGGTGTTCTCTCTTCCATTAGGTCATAAATATAATAAGATTCCAATTATTAAGTTCATGTCATATTTAACTTCACACATTTATCTCATGGTATTATTATCTTTAGTAGCGATAACACCTATTTATACGTCAATTTTTAGGGAAAGTTTAATACCAAGATGGTATGAATGGATGTTGCTTATTGTTTTAAGTGGGCTCCTACTTTTTGAATTAACGAATCCTAGTGACAAATCAGGATTAGGGTGGATTAAGATTGCTGTACTTTTACTAGGTATGATAGGTGTGGCTACACATGTTATTGGCTGGATATGTGTCCAGGAGAAATACTGGCCAACTCTAATGTACTGTAGAAATCAATGCTTTGCGTTATCGTTTCTACTAGCGTGTGTCCAAATATTAGATTTCTTATCATTTCACCATCTCTTTGGTCCATGGGCTATCATAATCGGGGATCTAATGAAAGATCTTGGACGGTTTCTTGCTGTGTTAGCAATATTTGTGTTCGGTTTCTCTATGCATATAGTAGCACTGAACCAACCATTCAAGAATATAAATAAAACCGAAGACAATAAATATGCAAGAAATGCAAGGAAAAAGCTGTTTTTCGACGGTAAGTGTTCTTCCTTTGTATAATATTTGCCTTACCATTGATATGCATATCATCAAAACAAGTCATTCAGCTCCATTATCATTTAATTCTTATTGTCTACTTCTTACCGTGGTAGAAAATCTACGATCAAAACGGCAAGCGTCTGACGATAATTCTACAGATTCATACAGGCAGAAACAGGGATCAATAGGGCGTAAGTCCTCATAACCGGTTATAAAAAGGCCACTAATTTCATTTTCCACATGATGATCACATTACCTCTCGATGTGCTTGTTTTACTTGTCTTTTATTTCTAATGATACTTGCATCTGCATCCGCTTGCAAGCTTCAGTGTCTAGCACATCGAGAATGTTATCATCGTTGGCATAAATGATTATATTATTCATTAGATAATCGTTGCTCACAATGGGAATGTGGAATGTTTAGGTCTCTGTAATATACAAACGACACTTCTTGCCATAATGTGTAATTTTTATTTTCTAATTATGGCACGTGTAAGTGATTCGATCAATTGATGTATAATTTAAGAACACAATGCATTTTCTGCATCGCATCAACACCTATGGCTTTATGAAGGTGGTGGTTTCCAGATGTGGACACAGAACATGCATTGCGATTGCGAGTCACTATACTAGTGTTAGTGGAATGAGTGGCCGACTTCACCGCATTTGATGGAGCAAGTTTATTTGCGCATGCGCCGCGGCTGGCTTATGTCCTGCGTTTGTTCACCGATGCAGAGGTACTTACCACTTTTTGTTTCGGATATGTTTGGCTGTTTGTCGTCATTGTGGCGTTTGCCCATGCTCTCGATGTTGCAACACTCTCTAGATCTTAGAGGATGGGGTGGATTGATGCAGTGGTATAATGAGTGCTAAAATAATAACAATTTTAAAACACGTAAACAAAACTCACATGATAATGTACAAATACCAAAATTTTATTGATACACATAGGTACACTTATTTATACCAATGTACAAAACTAAACACATACATCAATCTGTCTCTCCCACACTTTTGGTGTCTTTAGTCGTCGTAGATCTTTAGTTTATTGGTAAGATTGATGCAAGAGTAATAAAACTTGTTATAATAATGGTTGAACTCCACACTCCTGTACAAATATTACCTATTTTATACATACAGTAGGTACCACATACCCTGCATCAACCTACCCCAATTTCTGCCGTGTCGAGTGAAAAGAATGTGGTCCATGTGTCGTATTGTCTTCTAGCGACGTTGTCATCGTACGAGGCGTTGGAGAGACTGTTCTTGGCCATTTTTGGACAGATAACTCTCTCAGACCTGAACTACCAATCCAACGTGCGCCCGCCATGGACTCAGAATCTATTCAAGTTCGTCTTTGGTGCTTACTTGCTGATGTCGGTCGTGGTGCTCATGTCAATCCTCATTGCGATGATGTCGAACACTTACCAACGCATACAGGTAACTTGTCGCCCAGAACTCTAATCTTTTGTTCGCAGTTACCATGAACCCCCTGCATTCCTTCGAGTTGCTCTTCTTTGCGGTATTTGGACAGACGACAACTGATCAAACAAGAGTACATAGGAACGAAGTTGGTGTGCAGCCAGAATGGACGAATTATTTGTTCAAAATTGTATTTGGCATTTACATGCTTGTATCAGTAGTAGTATTGATCAACCTGCTCATCGCTATGATGTCAGATACCTATCAAAGGATTCAGGTAACATTCACTAGATTAAACATCCTACACGCGACTTGTACACATTAACTGTGGACTGTATATAGTTAAGCCAAACAAGTAATCTTTAAAAAATTATGTACAAACAGGGTTTTAGTTCTAAAATTCTGATAGTTTCTTAATGTAGGCTAAAGTAGAACTGGAAATACATAGATATCGGGTGCATTCTGCATGTAGATGAATTGTTGTGCATGTACAAAAAAAAGGAAGCAAACAAATCAATCAGAATACTCTCTCTCATCGATTTTGATATGTATCTAGTTGTACTTGTATTAATAATCGTACATACAGCTGAGTTTCCATTTATAAACAAGGGGAAAAATTATGCACAACTTCAGACTGACATCGTACACAGGTTACCGTTTATTTACAATCGTGTTTTTTATATCTTTCAGGCACAATCTGATATAGAGTGGAAATATGGGTTGTCAAAGCTGATTCGTAACATGCATCGTACAAACACTGCACCTTCCCCCCTAAACTTAGTCACTACTTGGCTCATGTGGCTTATTGCCAGGTGTAAGGTAAATAAGCAACTCGTGCACTGTATACATGTACTTATCTAACCTATGTTTCTTCATGTTTATGTCAATTTTATTATGATGCAGGATCGAATAAGTAAGAAGAAGCGACCAAGTTTAGTTCACATGATTGGATTGCAGAGACAAGATCAGATGAGTGCCCGATCCAAGGCTGGAGTCAAATGGCTGTCTAAGGTCAAGCGTGGACAAGTTGTGCCCAAAGGTAATAATCTTTTCCAATTTTAAGATATCTAAATATCAGAATGATTATTAAAACAATCTAGACTATCTAGAATCTTTAGTAAAATTTATGAGAAACCCACGTTTTAGTTTAGTATCATATGGTACAAAAATATTGAGTAATTAGCATCACGAAGTTGTATCAAGAACTCGCAATTTGTAAACACACTGCACTCGGTAAGCGTTTCATTGATAAATAAAGTACCTAACATAACATCAAAATACTAAAACTTCACTTTATTAAAGGGCACGTTTGAAATAAGTATAAAATACAGAAATCTTTAGAAATTAAATTAAAGTTTAACTTACCCCTACTGTTTTACATGTATTTTAATAAATGTTGAAAATGTAGTCCATTTGTCTCCAAGCAAAAGTCTAGCTCTTTTTTGAACATTTCCTTTTAACTTTTGAAGTACTAAAGTGTAATTACGCACATGTCTTTTAACTGAACCCCACAAATAAAAGTGACATGGTGTTAAATCCCGTGATCGAGGGGGCCATGGGACGGGACCACTACGATCAATCCAGCGGTTACCGTGTTCTGTATTTTAATAGACACGAACAGTGGCCGCGTAATGTGGTGGGGCACCGTCGTGTTGGTACCAATAATCCCTAAAATAAAAAAGGGGCATGTCGTCCATGAACTCCTTCATAGCCCCACTCAACATATCAAGGTCGGTGCTACTAATCAGCTTGCCTTAAGATTTATTTATAAAATAATTATTTAATTATTTTATCAGATTATTTAATTGTTACAACATAAGGTACACAGTTTAAACAGTAAGATGCCGCATAAACTCATTCGAGTTTATGCGGCATCATACTGTTCGAGATTATTTAATTAAATAATTATTTTATCATTTTAAAGAATTATTTGATCTGTACCGACCTGCGGCCGGATTTCGCACACGATCCACGAACGCCTCACCCCGACAAAATGCGTTCCCCGATGTATTCTTTCTCTCACTGTTTACGTAACTAACATAAGACTATTATGTACGTTTGAATTGGTGACCACGCTGCTAATTATTTTCTTCGGGATAAAAAAGAAAATGGTAGCTCAAATTTTCAACATAAAATATATGTTGAAAATTTGACCTCCCATTTTTTTTTCTAAAATGGGGTCCTTAAATAATGTCTTGTACCTAAAAAAAAATTGGACGGCAATGTCAATTTTATGCTGTATTGGATTTTAATTTCATTTTCCAGATTCAACGCGTCTATCTGTAGTCCACTTAAGTCCTTTGGGCTCCCAGTTAAGTTTCAACAATGCTACTAAGATAGAAAACGTCGTAGATTGGGAAATCATTGCCAAGAAATACAGGGCCCTTATGAGGGCTGAACCAGAAGAACCCATCAACATTGAAAATGAAGAAGATACCGCTGACAACGTTTCAGAAGTAGTGCCTAATAATATATCAAATGCTCCACCTTGAAATTAATAATGTAAAATCTATGGAGTTAGTTGCATGCAATACTGTAATATATTAAGATCTAAATCCTATGAACAGGATTAGAAAAAGTTAAATTGGGTCTAAGTGAAGTTTTTGGATATTGGAATCTATAGAAATTGGAACGATACTGCTCGGGTTACTGGTTAACAGGAATTTGTAAATAGTATTATAAGCTCAAAATACTTTTGACATTGATTTTCCAACCAGATGAAACCACAAATATACGTTACATAAAAAGTTTCTACGAGCATCGTACTATAACAGCTTTTATTTTTATTGAGTACATTTGTATAATTTATGACGTGATATTTTATTTAGTAAGTAGTTTCTAAAAAAACATGTGTGCTAAATACTTTGTTAGCCTCAATTCCTAGCCATTAAAGATATCGTGCCAGTTGTAATTTAGTATAATTTGCATGATTATCAGTTTTATTTGTGAAATTAAGTGTTTATTTCCCTTTAATTAATATTATGCAAAAGGACATTCACCTTTTTCTAATTAAGAAACTAAATTTTGTAACTAAGTTAATTGAATTTATTGTAGGTATTTGTACAAAATAATAATAATAATTGTAAATACATGTAAACGTAGTCATACTGATCGGACAATCAAATTTTTTTTTTTCATTACCTTGCTTTGGTAACATAGTGAATCCATCTTACTTTAGAGGGAATTCAACTTTGTAAGTTGTTGTACATTCATAGACATTAAAACTTATAAGTGACATTACGAATTAGCTAAGATAAGAACAGGGGATGTTATTTTTCCAGTTGTTTAGAATTAAGAGTAATTTAATAGTAGTCATATTTTTTTATAAATAAACGTGTTGTGTATTTGTGTAACTGTATTGTTTTAAATAAATCAGTGCATTTTTGAGTATGTGTTTAAATATAGTATTTAATAAACCTTCATAACATAATATAATAAAATCATATGCAGCTTGACACATAATGTAATAATTGAGATTTTGGCCTCCGGTAGCCTCACTCACTTGTGATATAACATACAACGAAAGAATTACTTACACCGGTTTTCAGTGTGGTCTCTGTGGCCTGAGTGCCATCACTGCGATTGCTGGACCGTGAACACGGTGCTCCACACGCTGGCACATGGCCTGGCGTCGGTGGGAGTTCTCTCGCTTGGTAACGTGATTGCTGCCATGGTGCGGAGCGAGAGTGCGTGGTCCTCCACCGTCTCCTTCTGCGAGCAAGTTATGCTTGCAAAGGAGATGGCGGAGTGAGACTGAGAGAGGAACGTGCCTGGTACCCAAGGAAAAAATAAAAGGCCTGCTGATCGTTGAATATCCTTTATTTTAACAGTTGTGTATATTTAAAGCATGTCTTTTTTTAAGTACGTTAAATACCAACCAAGGAATATTAAACAACTTTTGAATAAATAGTGTTTAACAATTCCAGTTCTCTTCAGTGTCGAAACGATAATGAACTTGTACTGTTTTACAAATACTATTGTCAATAATAGTTGTCGGTTCAACAGACGCACGCACACTGACCTTGCCCTATTTTTCTATCGGAGAATGTAAAACATGAAATCTGTTATTGAAGTAAGCAATAACTTTCAAATTAAGAAGTAAGTAAATACTCACATTTGAAATATATGTCCCATTTATAATTTAATTTAAAAAATATATGGAATGGATTTATTGTCAAGAAAAAGGTAATGAACACGTCGCAAGTTTTTAAAACCTTAAAAACAGGACAGGTTAATTTATATTTTCAATAGTTGCTTAATATTACCTCTTTCAATATTAACTTATACAGATGAAAGGTATTTCCTGATTGTATAGCCTTAATTTGCAGTTCATTCTCTTTTAAGATGTGTAATGTAATAATAGCCAAAATAGTATCTTGATACATCTTACTCCCGGCAGTCTGATCCCAAACTAGGCAGGGCCTGTGCTGTAGTAACCAGACTGCAGATAAACATACTTAAATATTTCTAAATACATACTATGATACTACTATAGATAAATTATTATTAGATCCAGACACAAAACAAATTATCGTGCTCATTACACAGCTATAATTATATATCTAAAGTTTTATTTGAAATCGAAATTTATAAGTCAAATTAAGATACCTTTACACCTAAACTACCCACTGCTTCTTCTTATCTACTGTCGATTTGTCCATCCCAAGGTTTCCTGTAAGAGATTGCTATTAGCAATAAGGCCGCCCATTGTACATATCCATCTGTAATATTCAACCTACTTACTGTAATTGGTGTACAATAAAGCATATTCTATTCTATTATATTCCAAGATACCAATTTCTCTGCATTAAGAGGAACCCGTCTGGCCAGCGTGGTAAAGTAGGCCAAAACCTCTTTTCTAAGGAGAGGCCTATGTCCAGCAGTGAACTATTAAAGGCTGTTGATGTGAAGGGGAAACAAATAGTTTCACTCGTCTTTAAAAAAAACTTATTCTACATACTGCTGCACGATGTATCATTGATGTGAATTCTGATAAATTTGTTTTAGTCAGGGACTACCCTAACAAAAACAATTTGTTTGAATTCTCGGCTATACACAAGTATAGCATTAGACTACCAGGTTAATTACCACAAATTATATTCAATATACATTCGAGAACAGAGTTGATCAAAACAGGAGGTAGCAACGACGACAACTGTTATTGTAATTTTATATTTGTAAACACATTTGTATGTACATATTTTTGGTAGTTAACTTTGTTTTAATAGCCTTCAAGTTACTGAAAAAAAAAACATATTAGTATAACGAATTTCAATACTCAGCCGCATGGCCAGGGACTGAAATTATCAGATTATAAGTAAGACGCAAAAAAAAAGCTTGCTACAAACTAACTACTTGTAGTTGTGGTAATAATTCGTCTCTACATCTGCTGTTTATTTCTCAATTCAGTTTTTTTTTAAATACACACACTACTATATAACTAAATTTTCTTTATTTCTAAATGTACCTTTACAGGAGCGAAGGCGCGAACAGAGACTAGTATGGCTTTATCAGTACAGTTGGGAACAAAACGGTTATGTATGGCTTTGACGTAGGCGAGCGCAGGTTATGGAAGCTACTAGAGATGATGGAAGCAAAATTTATTCTTCCCCTTGCTCCTTATCGAGGGGGGTGCCTCAAGGGTCTATTTTGGGCCCCCTTTTATTTATTCTGTACAGTGCTGTACAATAAAGTAATAATCTTATGCACTTTTATGTGTCTATTTTCATTGGTAACTCATACAAACTCATAAACACATAATTATACATTCTACAAACCATGTTTCCATTTTAGGTAGTAATATGACGGGGTACGAATGGAGTGTACATCTATGAAGCCATATTTAATATTAAGAATATTATCTCAGTGGTTAAATATGTCATTATTCCTTCATCTTTTACTTCAAGCAATTCGTAAAAATTCACAAAAATTTCATTCAAAATCTCAGCCATTAAAAAATATTTAAGAACCTGTCACGAGAAAGTATTATTAAAACTGATTTAACAGTTATAAATGAGACACGTTAAATTTTTTTTTTTATAAAACCGGTCTAAGAAAATTCCTTTTCAAATATAATATTTTACTCTAAACTGTCTATATAATGTTATGTACATTAAATTCCCTTAATTCAATGGCAAGCGGTGAGGGGGTGATATGTGAGCGCTTTAGCTTTTTTGTAAAAATATTTAAAAAAATCTCATGTAAGTAAATTTTTAACATTTTATTGAAAATCGGTGCAAACTGATACCTTCTACTGCTTTTTTCAATAATGTGATGGCGAGTGGGCGTGAATAGGTATTTTCTTTTTTGTATCGGTGGCGTGAATAGGTATTTTCTTTTTTGTATCGGTGGCGTGAATAGTCCTTCTGTCGATTGCAATTAATAATAATAAATTTCTGAGGAGTTGGCCATCCCGCAGACTACTTGATGTAGTAGCAAGTTCCAGGTTACCATGTCGTGGAAATACCATCAAAGTAACAGTATACCAAATCTCAGATCAATCGGACCTGTGAATTTTTGTGAGATCTTCACATCAACTAGGAAGTGAGCTGATGATCTTCAAAATTTAGCTCAATAACTCTCTCGATCACATAGGCATTCGAACAAAAAAATAGGTCCATCTGTTCGAGAGCTATGATGCCACAGACAGACAGACAGATACGCAGACATACAGATACACAGGTTAAACTTATAACACCCCACGTTTTCCGTCGGGGGTTAAAAACGGGTGTCAAGTAATTCTTTCGTTACTTTTCACCGAATGAGTGAGGTTACCAGGGATTTTACTTCCCTCCCTCTCTCTAGTTCTGCAAACGGAGTATGCGACAACACACTTTTGCCTTGCGACAACTTGTCTTTTGAGTTGCAGGTGTTGCTGGGCTGCGGTAATACCTTCTCCATCAGATCGTTTGCCTTCTATATCTTAATATAATATATAACACTTGTAATTGATGTGACATTTCAGTTCAATAACAAACTTTAAAGAATTGGCCCTTGATGACGTTGCAAATTTTTTGAATACGGTCCATGGACTCGAAGATTTATTCGACGATGGCATTTTGAGAAATTTAATTGCAGAATTCGGTGACAAGAGATGCTACTGTTCAGTAAATTGGAAGTCTCAAGGTGCCGGCGGCTTTGGCCTTTTAAATGATGTAAGTGATCCCTTAGATCTCCTCGACCCTATTTTTACTGTATCCTTTATCTATCATAAGAGCGGTAAATTTACATATAAACAACATAAAATGACTTTAAAATCTACAGTCAATAATATACTGTGTCATTTTGCAGGTGGTTAATGATTTCTTTAGTGCCTTAAAAGCATTAAAAAATGGTGGTTTGAACTTAGAAAATCTTTACTTAATGGGATATTCAGAGGGCGCTCTCGTTGCTGAACTTGTAGCTCAGGCCTTAAATGAATCAGATTGAGTAATTACACGGTGAGTAAGGATATATTAGCCACTACGGTTGCACCAACAATATCGGTGAGCCTTCAAGAAGAATGCTATTGCTATAAGTAAAGTAAAAGCTAAAAATTTTGAAAGCGCTAACGACTTTTGAACTGAGACTTGTTTTCCACGGTAACGAATTTACGCTACGAAGCTACGAACAAGAAAAATTGCAATCTAATTGAATATTGTATTGTAAATAAAGAACACTCAAGTACTTATTAATATTATATTATTATGTCAAGTATCGGTATTTTTATGTCAAGTTGACTAAATACCAAAACACTTCAGATATCAATTATGGTTAATCCCCATCAGGTATAATTCGTCAAGTAACGCCTCTTTCACATATTAAATACTTACACAAATATTGTGTACTTCTAATGCGCTAATAAAATTAACCAATTTACAGTTTAATACCACTATGTAAGTTCGTATTATTTAATTACTCAAATTATCATACAAACACTGTCACGTAGATACAGTATAAAAATATTATTTCAAATATGTGAAATAGTAAGGAAAAAAACTCTTAGGTATGATTCAATGAGTACGCAGATACTGTTTGTTACTGGACAGCTTCTGATTTACGAATAATTTACTTCATAAATTGCAAAAAAATAAATGAAATAAATTGAAGTTTAAAAAGCTTTGATACAAAGAATATATTACTTCTTAATTTAGATTTTAAGTAAGTATGTTTGTTTTAAGTATTTCTTTATATCAAGTTTTTTTAAACTCATTTGTGTGACTATTTAATTTCCCTATCAAATAAATATACAAACAAATAAATAAATAAATAATAAACAGACAAAAAACAAACCAAATTTATGAAAGCAAGCTGAATTTCTACACGTATAAAGTCAAACTGTTACTGTGATAATTCAAACTCTACCAGTATTATTTTACCAATATAACTTAGCGAAATTCAAAGGAAACAATTTCTTAAATTTTCATATGCGCAACCCAGGCTCATAAACTATACCTAAAGAATATCTAACCAAACAAACAAGTGATATGGTTTTATTAAAGCAAACAGCTAGAATATACTCGTACGTCCAGCCAAAATAAAACATTGTGGTAGTTGCCCCAGATTATGAGCAAACCATTAGTGTAGCTAAAATGTTGGTTTATTCCCAGGAGTTCATAAAGCCAGTTCCACATGATATTGATGTAACCTTAGAAATGTGTTGTTCCATGTAATTTTATACTACTTTTACAGCTGACATTAATTTAATTAAAATTATTTCAAAAAATTTATGTAAAAAGTACTCACAGAAAGTTTGAGAAAAATAAAAGTTCTATTGGAAAGTAGTAGCACAAGTTTATTTACAAGCACAGAAAGAGAAACAAGAATCACAGAAATTAACACAGCACAAGAAACAGTCAAGAGAAAATTTGACATAAAAAGTCACAGAAAAGAAAAATTGTAAAATTGAATGTGTTAATCTAACGTATCTTAACGTACCTTAGATTAACACATACAATTTTATACGTTTCATAGGCAACAAAGTAGGTTTCGCGACCGAGCGCAGTACGACAACTAATTCTATGCAGCGGTCGATGCGCTTGCACCGACCGACGGCGGAACAATAGGACACGAAGATTAGAGTGTAGTCCCACTACACCGAATGTAATATAAAAAACCGGTCAGGTACGAGTCAAACTCGTGCGCCGAGGGTTCCGTACCCATCCAGATTTTACGTAGATTTTAGCGAAAATTTGTAAGTACCAAAATTTATCTTAAATTTCAACTTTTTTTATTTTGGACAGCCTTTATTTGTGCTGTAAGACGTTTCTTTTCGCCAAATTTCGTGATTCTAGGTCAACGGGAACTACCATATAGGTTTTCGACCCAAAACCTATAGGGTACTTCCGGTTAACCCAGAATTTTCAATATTGGTTAAAAGTAAGGTGTTACAGCACAAGTAAAGAAAAAAATCCGAAAAATAAAAAAAGTTGAAAATTAAGGTAAATTTTGGTACTTATGGAAATTTTCCCATATCTTTTTATCGCGTTGACTCAGGACCTTGATTGTTATACACCTTATAGGGACCAAACACCTCAGTATCTGGTATAAATTTCAACTTGCTAGGTCTACCCGTTCTTGAGAAAATCGGTGGTGACACATGGACGGACGGACGGATGGAGACGGACAAGAAAGTGATCTTATAAGGGTTCCTGTTTTACCTTTTGAGGTACGGAACTCTAATAAATATTATTCGATATAGTTAAATTATTTATATGAAGTGAAAGTCTATCTAATAGTATAGAATAGGATAGTATGGAATATATAATAGTATAGAATATAATAGTATAGAATAAATAAGGTTGTGGTTTAAGCAGTCGCCACGCCGCTTTCTACTACGCCGAGTGTTGTAGGTTCAAACCCCACAGTTCTGAGTCTGGTTGTTCTTTATGTCCGTTTCATGTATGTATGTTGTACAGTCCCCTGCGACACAGGATATGTTCTAATGCTTGTTTTTAAAAAAGAACTATAATGTGAATCTGAATGATCAATTTTTTGGTTCATTTTTTACCCCTTCTACTCTTATTTGTGAAGGGAATGTATTGAGTATATGATGTTAAATCATTTTAATTCACGTTCAAGTCTCTATATGGAACTACTGAGAACAAACCACATTGTGTAACAGTTATTTTTTTAGTATATTTGTAATGCGTACGGACTTGTTAACAGCGACACCTATTTGCCCTAGTCGCATTTTGTTTGATTTATCCAAAGTAGTTTGTAGCTACAGTATTGATGTTCTTCGTTCGCCGTCGGACCACTAGATGGCGTTTGTTTGTAGATAGGTCATTTTATTAATTTATCATGACAAATTGTATAGGTATTGAGAGTGTTTTGTTATGGTAGGAAGCGAGTTACTTTTGATTTTGTTCGTGTTAACCTCGTTGATAATTTAAATGTCAAAGTAAAATGTTAAGTAGGGATTATTTCTGGAAACTTCGGAAACCGAACATATATAAGTCCGGCTTTCAGCCACGGGAGACACTCTGCTATCTCGTGTCTTCCAATCTTAAATAGTGTTTTGATTGTCTTGTGATTTTATTTTCATAATATATTATCTGTTGAAAGTACAGACGAAAGTGGTGAGTATATTATTAATTTTTCTTGTACCTATTTGTTTCTGGAACCTGATCGATAATATGAGTGCTAATCCATTCGTAGGGTCCCAGATTTCGGGGTCAAGACGGTCAGTCTCAGACGGCGTGCTTGTTCGTTTGTGGCCTTCTGGTTCGAATTCAAGTTTCTCGGTACCTTCTGGCAAGCTGGCAGTCACGCGGCTCCCAAAGCAAGCGGACAGCCGTACCCAAGGGTTACGTACTTCTATTTAACTTTATAAATACCAATAGTGAACTTTTCTCAATATCTAATATAAATAGCCGACTCGGGCGGAAGGGGAAGTGACCTCCTGGAGTGAAGACGAGGAGGCTCCGAGCACCATCAGCTCGGCTCTGACGCGCTCCGCTGCGGTTTTTCTTGTACCCACTGATTAATTTATTTATTTTTCTATTGTAACTTTAATTTTGTTTTTGAAATATACATGTATGTATGACTGAGGTGTAAGTTGTTTTCCTCTAAGGAATCCCGTAGGTTTCCCACACGCTCACACTTCTGTTCTTTTAGAAAGCGCCCTGAGGTAATCTCATAAATCTCTCCACTGGGTCAGCCGGTGAGTAGTCCGCCTGAGAAGAAAAGCGGCTACAATTGTTACACTCAAAAATAGCGAAACTAAGCAGAGCAACTTTCGAGTCTTCGAAACTTACTTTAATTAATGCTATTAAGTGCTTAGTAATTTAGGGCAGTCAATTGTAATATTTGCGAGAAGAGATAGAGCGGATATATTACCATTTTTTTTTTCAAACTAAGCAGAGCTTCTACTATGGGTACTAGACAACTGATATTGATATGTTTTTTTTTTTTTTTTATAAAAAGACAACTCCCGCACTAGGAATAAATCCTGTGTGACGGGGGACTTTACAAACATACATGAAACGGACACAAAGTACACCCAGACTCAGAACAACAATTTGTGGATCTCACTCGGCGTAATAGAAAGCGGCGTGGCGACCGCTTTAACCACTACGCCATCCGTGCAGTCGAATGATGATGTAAATACATACATATTATACATAGAACCACCCAAACCAAATCAAACTCAAAAAATTGTCATGCACATCAATGTTTGACTTAAGCGGGAATCGAACCCGCGACCTTTGAAATAGCAGTCCGTTACACAAACCATCCGATCATCATTACAAACCTCTAGCGGCAAGAGGTGGTACGTCACATGTAACGATAATCATAGTCAAATAAAATTTATTTTGCCTTAAAGTCGAAGTAAGTACCTCAAGAATTTGGCTTAGACAGATTCAATTAAGGTTCGTTAAATTCGTATTACAGGTTCGAAACTTGCGAACTATGTTCGAGGTGGCTGCTCATTTATGAATTACGAATCACCGAAAACCGGCGATGCTTGATCGGTAGCGGGTGCGGAGCGTGCGGGGGGCAGGTTCAAGAACTTTGATATTATGTTACTTGCTGCTACGGAACCCTTCATGGGCGAGTCCGACTCGCACTTGGCAGCTTTTTTATAAATTGGTGTGACAAATACCAACTTTCATATGTTATAAAGGTTTTGTACAAATGCATAAAAATAACTTAATTAAAATGTACATAAACTACACTGTTGTAACACAGTATCTGTAATACTATTTTGATAACTAATACAAGTCTACAGGCTGATGAATAGGCCGATGGAATAGTTGCAAAGAAGTCTAATAACTTGTGTACACTTTTACTTCAGACCCATCGTGCTTGGAATGCCCGGTTACAGCTTGTTTCAAGTTATAATTATACAACTTAGATCTTTGCGAGCTACTGTTTAAAATCCTCAAACCATTCCTTGCATTACCTTATCTTTATAACTACCATATCTTTTTAATTTACTCCGATTT